TTGGTGAGAGTATTTTCCATTACTTTTATGTTAATTTTAGATAATAACATTCTAGCAGTGAGTGAATAATCTAGAATGATAATTTTGCAGTGGTGACTTTGAAATGTTATGTATTTGTTGCGTGTTGAAAACAGGTCGAGCTGTCCCACCCAAATGCTGAACTTAGATTGCTTGAAGTCTTCTATCACAAGATATATAAGGTGAGGTGCTCAGTAGGGGCACTTGCTATAGCATTAGTATTTTTATCATTAAATGCCACATTCACATTTTACTTGTGAAATTGCAGATCTTTCCATCCAATGAAAAAATTGAGAACATAAATGATCAGTACTGGACGCTACGTGCTGAAGAGGTGAGCAGTCATTTTGAGAATATAATGATCGATAGAGGTATATTTTGTTTGTGCATTATGCTCACCTGTATTATAATACTGCATCTGTTCTTCATTTATATTCTACAGATACCTGAAGAAGAGAAAAATATTGGCCCTCACGATCGGCAAATTCATGTTTACCATTTCACAAAAGAGACATCTCAGAATCAATTGGTACTTTTAACATATTCTTATATTTAGGTTAATGCTGAATGCGATTATTGAAGACTTGATTTTTTTTCTGAACAGCAAGTTCAAAACTTTGGAGAACCCTTCTTTTTGGTAATCCATGAAGGTGAAACATTAGCTGAGATTAAAGCTCGTATTCAAAAGAAATTGCATGTTAATGAAGAGGAGTTTTCCAAGGTATATGTTGTTTTCACTGTGATGCACTCTAGTGCCTTTCAGGGTTTAGGTTCCTAAAGCCTAATAGTTTTCTTGTTTCTAACTGGCCATTCTTTTTGGATGCACAGTGGAAGTTTGCGTTTTTGTCATTAGGACGCCCAGAATATCTTCAGGATTCTGACATTGTGTCCAGCCGTTTCCAGGTCATTTGGTTTACTACAACTTGTTTTAAGCTCTTATTTTTTAGTTGTTCTTCCTGACTTTCATGAACTTGTGATTATTTTATGATTATTTTTATGAATTTGGAAATGTTTTTGAATTGGCATGTCATGTTTCTTATCTCTTGAACTATATTAGACATTTTTTGTGTTTTGTTTGGTTTTGTTTTGTTTTGTTTTACAGAGGCGAGATGTTTATGGTGCTTGGGAGCAGTACCTTGGTCTTGAACACTCTGATAATACTCCAAAGAGGACTTATGCTGCTAGTCAGGTAAATACTACGTACTATTTTAGCATATTACATCTGGAGCACAATCCGCCTTTATTATTATGATGACTACATAGTACATACCTTTTACAGTCATTGTTACAAAGTCCTCTCATTTCCGCTTGTGTTTTTTATTCGCTTGTTTGCAGAACCGTCACACTTATGAAAAGCCAGTTAAGATCTACAACTAAAGATAGAAGCAGTTCTAGAATTCGTGTGAACATATGCCAGGAGCACCACAATATGTACTGGGAAACATGAGGCAGGGGAGTAGAGTCGGAGTAGTTGTTACCAGTTTCCCTTTCTGGTGTTTGTAACATTCTTCCTTCACTTTTTTTTCTTTTCCCTTTTAATGGTGTTTTCACTGAACTGTTCCCCCCTCCCACTAGCTAGCTACTCGTTGCTTTGGTAGGCTGAACATGAATCATTGGGCGGTGACGTGGAGTGTTTTTTCCCTCCCGTATTGTAGTATCTCGACATATACACCTACCTGTTTTCAGTTTGTGTATTCTTTGCAGCTGGTGGCTCCGCTGTAGAGTGATCCCTCGTATTTATAGTTCGTGTCCAAGTCGTGCATAGAAAGATTTTGGTAGCAAGAATGTATAGTATATATAATATAGTTGGCCGCATTCTGAATGGCTCATGTTCTCATTTTTAGAATTCCATTCTATTGATTTGCCGACAGCAGCCAACGACTCTTGTAACAGAATGACCTTGTTTCTTGTGCTTGATCGTAATGCATAATTCCATGTGTGTTTTTATATGGAAATGAATTTATTGGTTCAGAACTTCAAATCAATGAGCAATAACGCTTGCTCATTTGGTAAGACCTCTTTTGATGCATGCCATCAAAAGAGGTAAGGGTAGTGAATAGTGGAAAAAGGAAAGAGTGGAAAAGTATGAAAAAGAATATGATAAGTAGAAAAAATAATGGTAATTGAGTATTTTTAAAGGAAAAATTATTAAAAAGAAAAACTGCAGCAAATAAAAGAATATGGAGGGAGTAACATGTTTTACTTTTATTTTTGGAAATGCAATGAACAATTAAATACTTGTAAGTTGTAACGTGGAGGGACTGAGGGAGTAATATGAACAATTAAATACTTGTAAATGCATTGAACAATTAAATACTTGTAACGATAAAAATGATAACTCCAGAGTCCGGACTAGCTGACTGATTAAAACCTGTTTAGAACCGGTACTTAGGGGTGGACTCGGGCTGGGCCAACCGGCCTGGAACTGGCCCGGCTTGCCACTGTGCGGGCCCGGACCGGCTCGGTGAACCGGTTGGTTGGCCGGTTCGGGCCACCCGGTCCGGTAGATTCTCGGTTCGGGCTCGGGCCCTTCAAAAGGTGAACCGGCCCGGCCGATTTGGGCCCGGGCCGGGCCAATTATTATTTTTTTTTAATTTTTTTTAAGTTTTTGGGTTGGGCTAGATATTTTGGGCTTTGAGGTGGTTAGGGTTGGTTTGGGGGTGAGGGGGAGGGTTGTGGGTTAAATAGGAAAAGCCCAAAAAAAAAAAATATAATCGAGGCCCGGCCCAGACTCGGGGGTTACCCGGGCCGGTTCCGGGCCTCCCATACCTTGAATCGAGGCCCGGCCGGTTCAAGGTCCGAACCGGGCCCGGCCCGAACCGAGTCCATCCCTACCGGTACTTTTGTTCCCACTTTTTACGCAAGAACAAGAACTGGCAGTCTAAGGATAAAAAAAGGCCCGATCCACCCCTAGGCGAGGACGAAAGTTGTGGTTCTAATTTCATGTAATTTTGATAGCACTATTATTAATAAAGTAACTCATACTCTCATAGTGGTAATTTTGTCCATTTATGCTTTTTTAGGTCCTGAAATGAGACCAGATGTCATGTTTAGTTTAATTTCAAGTTTCAACTGAATTGTTTGGGAAAATATTCTTTGTTTCTTAAGGTGGATTATGTCACGGTACTGTTTATGAGACACAATTCCTTACCAAATGGGCTAACTTTGATTAGTGACATTCATTCTGGACTTGATAAATGATCATGAAATTCATATAATAATGTCATTATCATAACACAAACATTTACTAAATTAAGCTATCGTGCAGCTAATGGGTCTAAAACAACAATCTAATACATAACCGTGTAGCAAATGAGCATTGCAACTTAACAAGAAAGTCAAATTTGAGTGAAAAACAGAGAATGAGTTATTCTTGACTTGATTCTGGCCTTCTAAAGAAGAAACAGTAGACCCTTTGAAGAATTGAAGCCAACAAGAAGTTGATAGATTTCTTCAGATGATTGAGAATGCATATAAAATTACCAGACAATAAACACAGTTGAACATTGTAAACAACATATACTTTTCAAATTCCATACTTGAGTTTTTGTCAAAGCCTTTGAAGGGTCCATGAGGGTCCCATTTTGGACCAACACATAAATCAATTAATATTAATCTTTTCATAAGATTACAATGAAAACTTACTACTGTGAAAGAAGGATAGAAATTATACAACTCATGTCTATTTCATTTTCAAACAGATGTTGCTAGGGGTTGAAAATGATTGTATAGGTAAACAACATTAATAACGTAGTGAATTAACAAATCTTTATAAATATTTTTAAAAAGACACTATGTTGACTAATACTAACATATTTTTCTTGTAAATCATTTGTAATATAAACAGTCAGGGCAAATTCAGTAACCCAAGTCACACTCGATTGAGAAATAATTATATTAGATTTAATCATTAATGAGGTTGACCAAATATGAAAAAGGAAAATTTCACACTAAAAAATCGAAAAATTTTATTGCCCCGAGCTTCTACCCACCATAACTCTAACATAAATCTTCCCCTCATAAACACATAGGAATTCCAAGTTACTACAACATCCGCTACATTTTACATGTCTTACTTTTTTTGGTTGTTCGAAAATGGGTATCACTTTTTTTTGGAAATAAATATGCGGTCTACAACATTTTACTTCATCATATTCAAATCTCAAGCACAAGTTACAATTTTCCAACCACTTTATTAATAATTGTGTCGAATCAAGAAATATGTAGTTACTACTATATTTCATTTTCTTCACCTCTTTGCCTCTGGTAAGTTATTCAAACAAGAGATTGAATTTAAACATTTAGGAAATTATTTTCATTTTCATTTGGGAAAAGGTGCAAATAAGCCCTCGAACTAACCGAAAAGTGCAAATCACCCCTTTTATAGGAGGTTTTAGCCGGCCGGCCCCATTTGGGGCGGTTCCCGATGGAATTTTTTGATGATTGTTTTTGGGCGTCTTCTTAATTAAGTCTAGTTTACCCATACCAAATTTCAGATAAAAATTAAACCGGGAAGGCAGTCAAATGATTTTCTGAAATATAATGCGATGTTTACCTTGCGCAGTTATCTCCAAACATTTATTTGAGTGTCTTCCCGATTGCATTTTTAGCTGAAATTTGGTATGGGTAACTAGAATTAATGAAGAAGATGCTCAAAAACATTCATCAAAAGATTTCACCGGGGACCGCCCCAAATGGCGACGGCCGGACAGAGCCTCATGGGTGATTTGCACTTTTTGGTTAGTTGGAGGGCTTATTAGCCTCTTTTCTTTTTTCACTTTCTATTTATTTCCATTTCTATGTCCAAAAGGTTGAATGCCCAACCCCAAGACTCCCCACCCGATCCGACAGGATGGTGGAGAAGTTAATCACGGTGACTTAGTCAGCAAAGCGACGATAGACCTTATACACGTGCGCACCAGATGTCCATCCTTATTTTCAGATTCGGTAACTTCCAATTTTCCCATTTCTCACATCCACTTGCGGGTGTAAAACACACACTTATAGGCCTACGCATATCCAAACCCGTCTCTAGACTTCATTGTTTTTCTTGCTGGGTAAGAAACTCTACTAGCTTGAAGTGTCGTTCTTCCCGTGTTCGCATTCTTCCGGCTTTGGAGATCCGCTTGACCTAACCAAAAATGTTTCTCACCAGGTAAAACATTGACATTTTGTTAAATTTATCGAGCTAGGGCCTTTTCTGAAACCTACGCTGTACTGACAACTGTTAATCTGCCCCCATATTTTCTTCGTTCTGATGCTCGTTGGGTGGAGTGAAGAACGGAGTACGATCGAGGTGTAAACACCTTTTCTCCTGAAGGTCGTCTGTTCCAAGTTGAGTATGCTATTGAAGCTATTAAGGTAATTCTGTGCTTTATTTTAAATATTTCTCCCTGTTATTTTAATCGAATTACATATGCTATGGATCATCTTTGGACTAACTCGTAAGTAGATTTGGAGTGGTGATTTTTATACTTGTGTTTTTAATGTTTTGTAGCTCGGTTCGACTGCTATTGGGATAAAGACTAAAGAGGGAGTCGTTATTGCTGTTGAGAAGCGCATCACTTCTCCACTCCTGGTCTGGTTTTCATTGAAATCCTTGTTCGTCTAATGCTCAGAATTCAGATCCTTAATTATAATATGGTGTTCATAATCTTTTATGCATAAGCTATACTTGACTCTGGAGAAGTATTTTTGTTTTTCAGTTAATTCTGATTTCTGAGTCATAGTAGTGTGATGGACTGATGGTCCTGGCTGGACAAAGGTTGGAACTAAATTGTTTTTTACTTGATGGGAACTACAGATAGTGCAGTTTTGAGTCAATACTTGTTCAGAGAGAGGAAAAGAAAAATAGGATTGGGCTTAAGGGGAATGACATGGTAGTGTTGAAAACATGTCTGGTTTACTGAATACAAGTATAGATCTGCATTAGGGGGTGTTTTGGCATGCATAGCTGCAATTCTAGCTGAAAGCTGATAAGTTAGTAGCTAGGAGTCTGAAAGTTGAAAGCTGTAATTGGTGTCAGAAGTGTTTGGTGAAATCAGTGGTTGATTAACTGATTTATGCAGAAAGGCCCAAAAAGACCCTCCTTACTACTGATAATAGATAGATGAATAGAGTCATAAAGTTTTTTTTTTTGTAAGAGAATAAGGTGATTAATCTATTATTGAGAAAACATAAAAAGCTAGGTACTTATTATGGAAAGCATTTAGTATATAGCTTTTCAAATAAGAGTTTTTTTTCTTTTATTTTATTTGTGTAACATTTTTATGGCCTATTTGGAATTTAATATAAGCTATAAGCTGCAAAATAAGCTCTACCAAACACACTATATTTAGAAGGCAGGACTTGTAAAAAGAATGACTGGGCCACTAGGTTGCAGTGGCGGAGCCAGAGGTTTGTCCAAGGAGGGGCAAACCAAAGACTAAAAATTTTAAAGTTCGTGTCCAAAATATAATTAGAACAACAATAGCGTAATAATTTAACAAAAAATTATAGTTCATTACATACTGCTTGATTTACTTTTGCAACCTAGGCAAATCAATCCTACGAGTTTTCATATTTTGAAAATGCTGCATAATAGCTTCATTATCAATTGCTTGAAAAATGTCTCTTTCGATGTAGCATACTAAGCAATCCGTAAGATAGTCATCTCCCATCTTATTGCGAAGATCTGTCTTGATAATATTCATCGATGAGAAAACTCTTTCAACTGTGGTTGTTGCAACTGGTAACACTAGAGCCAACTCAATAAGACGATAGACCAAGTGAAAAGATTTGTGAATTGTAAGCTCAACCATCTTCTTAGACACTTCACCAATACTTTGTAAAGTGGAAAATGCTTCATTTCCTCTCATCTCATATATCCAAACTTGGAGTTGTTCTTTAAGCTCCATTTGCTCAACAGCTGAAAAATCAGATGAATATAACTCCGCAAGACTGAGTAGCTTTGACTCACAGAAATTGGAAAAATTATCTTTAGGATCAAGGCAAGCTAAACAAGCGAGTAAATCTGTATTTGACTCACTAAAGCGATTCTCCATTTCCAGATTGACCTGGTCTATAACCTACAATAAGGTAATAATAAAAAGTAGTAGTAATAGTAATAATAATAATGATAATAATAATAATAACAACTAATAAATAATTTAAATTTTAATAAAAAATACCTGATAAAAAATATCAGCTCGAAAGTGATGATAATTTGTTACCGGATGGCGAACGCGTCTAGAACGATGAGTTGTATCTTCCATGTTTATGAAGGAGCGATTATATAGGCTCAAATGAGGAGTGAATCCTCTATTTCATCCGGTGTGGGATGAGTTGTAGGCTGAAGAAAATAAAATTGGAAGAATTGGGGCGGAAGAAAAGCAAAACAAGTTTAACTTAATCCGTCCTGGGGGGATTCGAACACGGGTGATACGAAGGGAGCGTGTTACCTGTCTCCACTGAGCTACTCCGGATTATTGGCAAATTGGGATGCCAAATGTATTACATACATTAATCCCCTTTTATTCTATATTTCATTTTTTTTACTTTTTCTGAAAATACTTTTTTATTTATTTTAACACTTCATCTTAAAATAACCTTAAGTTGTACTTATTGTTTTTAAAATTAAAAAAGAAGCCGGGGCAAGAAACATATTATAAGTAATACTAGTAAAAAAAATTAGTCGGAGAGGGGACGCTTGCCCCCCCTAGCTCCTCCACTGCTAGGTTGAGTGGGTGTTTTGGTATTTAGAATGGCAATGGGAAAATAAAAGAGAAGTTCATGCATCCAAGATTCAATAGCTTTTCAAAATAGCCCAAAATGTAATACAAAACACACCCTAGGCATTTTCTGTCTGCCTTTGCATCTTTGAGGAACAGGGATGACTGCTCCCACACCTTTGAAAACGAGGTTGTGTATTATTAATTTACTTTGTGTCATTAGTTCCTATGTTTCTTGGAGGGTTCTAAGCATGTGTTAAGAATGACACTTGAGCTCATGTTGTAGGACATATTTAAGTGCTATATTAATAGTTTGGTACTTCAGTCTAGGATTTTATTAAATGATCACCTATAATCGTGAATGCTTTCTATTTCTGATGAACTCCTTTCAAGAGGCATCATAATGTCTTACTTGAATATGTCTATGAGATTGACCAGATTTTGACTGCGAAACAGCAGAAGTGTTTGAGAGCCATGCAATTGAATATACAGTTTTTAATAATTGGAAATGTGTTTTTAATAATCATCGAACTTTAGATTACAAATTTGTGTTAACAGAGATAAGGATACCTATACACTTATGTTATACAGTTTTTAAAAATTTCATCTGGAAGAATCCATGCTTGATTAGTTGATTGTAATTGACTCTTAACTTTCCTAGGGTAGAAGAGAATGTGGAAAGTATAACCATGGTTATGACGAGATAAAACTTGAAATAATAAACTGTTGTTTTCTGTTTTCTGTTTCTTTAGCATCGCCAAAAACTCAATCAGCTTACACTATTAAATATTTAATAATCAAATGTAATTTTCATTTTAACGTTTGTTGACGTCATTCTTGCTATGATTTCACAACATTTTAGGAGCCAAGCAGTGTGGAGAAAATTATGGAAATCGATTCCCACATTGGGTGTGCAATGAGTGGGTTAATTGCTGATGCACGGACCCTCATAGAACATGCTCGTGTTGAGACTCAGGTACCCCATTTCACTTGAAGATATATGTTTTTTCCATTGTGTAATTTAACTAATGTATTGGTAGGCATTTACTAACTATGGATTTCCACTGTCATTTCTGTAATTCTGTAATTAGAATCATAGATTCTCATACGGTGAACCTATGACTGTTGAGTCAACTACACAAGCTCTCTGTGATTTGGCCCTGCGGTTTGGTGAGGGTGATGAAGAATCAATGGTTAGTGAATGTCCCCTAGTGATCAAGTTTTGTGTTGACCATGTTTTAATGGATGTTTCCTCTAATCATGATACCCATTAGTCCCATTACGCTTCCTGTGTTCATATCATTTACATATTTCATATTACGTGTTTTAATATGAATCTATAAACTTTTGCTAAAACCAGAAGCATAGCATATTGCATAAACATAAATGTTACAATCAAATTTAAATTTCATTTTGCTGTTAAACTATGCCTCATCTCCACCCCAAGTTATTGTTTCCCTAGAGATATAAGTTGGTGAAGACGTGGAGAAAAGGTCCCCAAATATGTAAACAAGATTAAAAGTAGCTTTAATGGTTGAATATCTTGGTGAATGCAGTCTAGGCCTTTTGGGGTGTCTCTTCTCATTGCTGGTCATGATGAGAATGGTCCAAGCTTGTAAGTAGCTCTTTCATGTATCCAACGCACCGTTTTTGGATGCTTAATTCATTCATGAAAGATGACTTTGACATATGCTGCCTATATCTTTCTTGTTTCACTATAAGGCTTGACAGAGATACTGCAAACACATCTGAAACTTACGAGGGGATTTTCATTCTCAGGTATTATACAGACCCATCGGGAACGTTTTGGCAATGCAATGCAAAAGCTATAGGTTCGGGTTCTGAAGGCGCTGACAGCTCTTTGCAGGAGCAGTATACCAAGGTACCTTCTCTCTAGTTTGACATGTGAGGAGTTCTTGACATCAAATATCAATGCATACCATAATGGCATGTTTTGATAGAGTGGTAGCGGGTAACAAATAGGGAAGAAAGGGAACGTGATTTTTTCTTGTTTGGCATAGGGGAGAGAGAAATTAGGTGAGGCCTGCTGACTTTTTCTTTCTCCCCTTAGGGAACATAGGAAGTTTTCTCTCTTTTATTCCCTCTTCTAATCTTAACATGCAAACATCAATTATGGACTTCTTTGTCTTCCATTTATATCTTTCCTTTCTCTTTCTCTCCTACTTATCTATATAATCCCCCGTGCGTATGTATATGTAACATAGACTTGGGCACAAAAATTAAGGAATTCTGCATTTCTGCCTAAATGGTTTTTTCCCCTATTTTACCCCTGTTTTCACCGTTGGGTATGCAGTCTTCTCGAACTCTTTGACATCAAACCCTTCTACCGATGATAATCTTTTTCTTCTTCCTCCTCGCCTTATAACACCTCCTCTCTCTTGCTTACCCTATCCTTGAATCTATGTAAAATCTACAAACACAATATTTCTTATTGTTGTTTAAATTCCCTCTCTTGTTTTTATTTTATTTTTTATATTTACATATATTTAGATTGGTTATTGTTTATGTAAGTATGTAACACAAACTAATAAACAAAATAAGAATCAGCAAACTCTAAATCAAATTGAATCTTGGACTACTTTTAATTTCCCCACATTTAATTTCCTTAAAGTTTCCTCCATGTTCTTATTTTCATCTCCAACAAAACTCCAAACCACCACTTTGTTGTTATATTTTCAGGAACTCACTCTGAAAGAAGCTGAAACAATAGCTCTATCCATCCTCAAGCAGGTTATGGAGGAAAAGGTAAGCCCGACTTTTCATCATTTCGGTTGTTTTATTGCTCAGATTGATTATCTACCACCTAAAATCCTTTTAACACCAGGTGACTCCCAATAATGTGGATATTGCAAGGGTAGCTCCAACTTATCATTTGTACCCCCCTTCTGAGGTTGAGGATGTCATTAGTCGGTTGCAATGAGAGAACTACATATATCTTAAAGCTTTTCCATTGCTCACTTGGGTTGCTTCCTAGATTTGCAAACTTTTCAAACTGTACTAGCAAAAATTGGTAATTAATTTTTCAAGCAGTTCCTTAAGATTTATTTCACTTGCAAAGCCTTTCTCTTTAATGTTTGGATTGATCATTTGATTTATAAACACATTTCACTTCTACATTGAGGTTCCACAATATATGAATTTGGCAGAGACAATGGAATCTGTTGTTTTACAACTCCAGTGACGATGTTTGACTGAACATAAAGCTAATCGATCCATATCTATAATAAATTTATTTTTAGTAAATGAGATTTACATATTCAGAAACTACATTAAAAGTTTTATAAAGTCACAAAAACAAAAACAAAAATCAAATTTGATAAAAGTTGGATGTATAAAGTAAAAGATTAAGAACAATTTTCTAAGGTGCAAGGCGGTGGCTTGGTGCTCCGATTTTAGTCTAGGGCTCTAGGCACTCCAACTACTTGGTTTGGTGCCTAGATGAATTAGTTGGCCGCCTAAGGCGTCTGGTTGACCGCTCAGACGCTAGGTGATGACCTGATGCCATAATTTTTTCATTTTCATTTTGTAATGAAGCCAAGAACTCGATATTTTTTGCTTGAGAATATGATAGAATAAAGCAAAATGACTCACAAAATTGTCTGTGTTTCTTTGTTATAAAGTAGCAGTCAGTCTATACATTTGTTGATGTGATTTTCATTCTGGGTCATTCGGGAACAGTCTCTTTGTAACTTAGTACATGAATAAGGTTGCGTACATCAGACCCTCTCTTACCTCATTATAGGTGGGAGCTTTTGAGGCACTAGGATATTGATGATGATTTTGATTTTGTAGGAGATATATGTACTTTTAACTTTAAGAACGCATATGAAGAAAGTTATTTTGTAAATTAAGATAAAAATTATACATGTTCGTATAACCTTAAATATTGTTATTATTTATAATATTTACTCAATTACTTGTATTACATAATGAAGTTAATTGTATATGTAAAATATAATATTAAATTTGATAACTTTATCATTCTTTCATGTTTATGTGTATTTTTTTACACTCAATCACTACATTGCTATTCACATTTATGTTAAAATATTGATAAAGCTATAATATATACGTATTCGACTATTCCTTACCTAGGTGCTAGGCTGACGCCTCAGTCCTCACTAGCAATGAGACAATCAAATATTCATGGATCAATATGAATCTCCCAAACAGGTTAACAATATAACAAGAAATAACAATCAACTATCCTTTGCATTGAATGAGTTGTTCATTAAACCAGGTTTGGACTTTTTTTGTTAAAATTCAATGCAGCATCATGAGTAGGGATGGACTCGGGCCGGGTCAACCGGCCCGTAACCGGCCGGCCCGGTACTATTTTGGCCCGGCCCGGCCCGGTACCCGGGTATGTGCCCGATTCGGGTCACCCAGCCTGGTACTGTTTCGGGGCGGGCTACGGGCCTCAAAAAACATGAACCCGCCCTACCGGGCCCGGTTTGGGCCAATTTTTTTTGTTTTACAAAATTTGAAAAAGGTAAATGGATTGGGTTGGGTGTTTTGGACGGGTTTGGGGTGTGGGGGTGGGGGAGGGGTAGAAAGTGATTAGAAAAAAAAAAAAAAAAATAGGAAGCCAGGTCGACCCGAGCCAGTTTCGGGCCTCAAGATTCCCAAAAAACCCGTTCAAGCCTGGCCCGAGGCCCAGCCCGGCTCGAACCGATTCCATGCCTAATCATGAGTCGTTGTATTGATCCATGAATCTTTTATGGAACTCTGCAATGCGTTCAACAAGTACCGCAATTGTATTCGCCTGGGGCAATAATGCAATATGGTGCATCTAAAAATAGGTGCATCACTTGGGGATGGACCGGGCAACGGATAGGAGGCCCAACAGCAGCCCTATTCAATTCAAACAATTTTTTTTGTGAAATTTGGCCGTTAGGCCCGGACCTGATCGGGGTTGGCCAGGCCGGTTCGCCAATTATGAAGCCTGTAGCGGTGTAGCCCACCTCTTCCCATACCGGTTTAGGCCCCCAGTCTCGGTCCCTAGACTGATTCCAGTCCCCAGTTTTGGGTTGGGCTGGGTATTTTGGGCCATTTGAGGTGGTTAGGGTTGGTTTGGAGGTGAGGGGGGAGGGGGGTTGGGGGTTAACTAGGAAAAGCCAAAAAAGAAAAAAAAAATAGAACCGAGGCCCAGCCCGGACCCGGGGGTTACCCGGGCCAGTTCCGGGTAGGGGTGTACTCGGGTCGGGCCAACCGGCCCAGAACCAGACCGGCCCGCTACTGTGCGGGCCCGGACCGGCCCGCTACTGTGCGGGCCCGGACCGGCCCGCTACTGTGCGGGCCCGGACCGGCCCGATGAACCGGTTGGTTGGCCGGTTCAAGCCACCCGGCCCGGTGGGATCTCAGTTGGGGCTCGGGTCCTTCAAAAGGTGAACCGGCCGGTTGGGGCCCGGGCCATTTTTTTTTTTTGATTTTTTTTTAAGTTTTTGGGTTGGGTTGGGTATTTTGAGTCATTTGAGGTGGTTAGGGTTGGTTTGGGGGTGAGTGGGAGGGTTGGGGGTTAACTAGGAAAAACCCGAAAATATATATATATATATATACTTCCTCCGTTCTTTAATAGTTGCAACAGTTTGACTTTCACGTTTACCAACGCACAACTTTGACTTTAATTATATCTAATTACGTATTAGTAAAAATTATAAAAAGTTAATATTTTGAAAATTCACATCAATAGAAATTTAATGACATTTTATACATAATAATTTGATTTTATATATTAATAGAAAATTATGGTCAAAGTAAGGTGTGTGAATAGTGCAAATATCCTAATGTTGCAACTTTTAAGAAACGGAGGAAGTATATATAACCAAGGCCCGTCCCGGACCCAGGGGTTACCCGGGCCGGTTCCGGGCCTCCCATACCTTGAACCGAGGCCCGGCCAGTTCAAGGCCCGAACTAGGCCCGGTCCATCCCTACTAATCATAGTTATCATCTTATCACACTCCATAATATTATATTATATTATATTCCCATAAAAATCATTTCTCAAAATATACATGAATTACATTATATAGTAATTCATTCTTGGCAAAGGAACCTTGATCTAGGACAGACATGTAGTACCAGCCTACCAGGGAATCAGGGAACGCTTCAAGTGGCATGACGCAATTTATAAACTGATCTCAACTCTCAAGACTTAAACCTCGACCACAAATGAGCGAATATACCACTTTGGCAGCACAATGATCAATTTATCACACATAATTGCTAGTAATTTTGAAATAGTATTACCTTTTGGGAGGACCTGACTAGCACTAAAAGAAGTAACATTAAAGTTCACATTAAGATCGACAACTAAACATCAAAAGTCACTGCCAGGCATTTGTACCCCAAGATAATAACACCAACAAAAACCATACAAATAATAAACAACTTTAAGGCCAAAACTTAGGGACTGTTACAACAGCGAAGAACTCTCCACGCAACTCAATCCTCATCCATTCCTCCTCCCGGCTGCGGTCCTCGCTTTGGACCACCAGCTGGTTTTGCCATTATAATCTGCACCAAAATAAATTATATCTTAAGTTGGTGGATTACAAGAGCTATACTACTCCTTTTTTGGAAAAATACACTACAAGTGCTATACTATCTTGGAAAAATTACACGGTGAATAGAGGGTTTAGTTAGATGGTTAGGAGCGAATCCTGAGATGTTCCAAAAGGCCATCCATCTTCAAAGAGATAGAGAAAGTGTGCTTTTGTTATTATTATGTTGTTACCTCTTTTCACTATCTACTGTTCTTTCATATTCTCCAGAATGGTAAATCAATTGTACTACGTATATAATTAGTTAATCCAACTTGGGAGCAGGAGGCTTTTTCTGCTTTTCTCAATTGAATTTCATCACGCTGGTACAGACTTCAAAATAGAGCTTCTCATAAATAAATATGATTCGAGTACAATACATAGCTCGTTACCTGGTCTACTCGGAGAACGGTGCACACAGCATCGGCAGCATATTTCAGAGCAAAGAACCTAGTCATGACAAGGAAGTAACCCGCCTTAATGAGAATAAAAGCACTTGGCTATCTACACGAACTTAAACATAGTATTAAAAATACATAAAACTTTTAAAAGTGGTGGAAATCAATGAAGTTCAGTAATACAAGCATCACACTTTTGCCCTTGTTTGGATAAGAACAATTTGGAGGAGAGGAAAGCGGCGGACGTTTGGCTTGGGAGAGTAAGGGGTAAGGGGGAGCTGCGGACTTCTCCAAGTTTCAAAATCACCCCCCCCCCCCCTCCATTTAACAATTGGTTATAATACTGTACTTGATTCATTTATTTTTATAAATTAAAATATACCAATATTTATGTAACAACTTATATTTTCAATTTCCTCAAAAAAATCAAATCAAGTTAGAGGAACTGCGAAGTGTTCACTAAGAAGTTTACTTGGTGATATATAGGTCCCATATATCCATGGTAGAAACGTCCTTGCATGCTCCTTCTTCCAAGCTGATGCCTACTTTAGTGCTCCCAGCAGCATGCTCAGCATACAAAGATGATATAATTTCCATAGCATTAAGTCCAGCATTCTCAGCAAGTGTTTTAGGGACCATTTCAAAACTTTCAGCAAACTTGGCAATTGCATATTGGTCAAGGCTACATAAAAATAAAAAAATATTAATACAGAATATACTATAAATTCATGAAATCTCATTACATGAGATTTTACAATACTCAGTTCATAATACAGACATAGATCATGGAGAGCTAAAATACATCAAAACACGTAGAATTGGTCAAATGATGGGATTTATGCATACAGTTCATGGTTTACTTTTTGGAAGGTTAAAAGCTACTGATATTTATGCATGTTGAATACTTAATGAATGGAGTACTCTAGGTGTATTATATATGTATGCGTGTGTGTATGTGTATATGTATGCATGTATAAGTCATCATCATCATCATCATTACCCCAGTGCCGCAAAGGCTCCTACCTACGGTGGGGTGGGGTGGGGGTCGGATGTACGTAGTCTTACCCCTGTACTAAAGCACAGAGAAATTGTTTCCGAATGACCCATAGTGAAAATCACGTCGAAAAATACATGGACTGACTGTTGCTTCACAATAAAGAAGCACAGACAGTTTAGTGAGCCATTTTGCTTTATTCCATCATCATCTCAAGCCAAAAAATAGTGAATCTTTGGTTCCATCATATGCATGTATATAAGTAAGACAACAAAAATGATTACCCAGTCTCTCTAAAAGAAAACTCCTTCAACCTCCTTGCCAACTCAATTTCAGTGGCTGCAGCTCCAGGTACTGTTCTACTGTCCCTACACATCGCCTGGTACAATGAAGAATCAAAGTTAAGATTCTAATGTCAAACTACGCAAAATAATACTCCCTCCAATCCAAAATATAACTCTCAATTGCACTTTGCAGACAAATCATGGTAACTAATTATATTTGGTTGGTTTTAAAATTGTACCCTCTTAAAGAACTATTACTATGTTGTTCAAATAGTTGAAAATGCAAAATAAGTAGAAAAGGCAAAAATTAGTATTTTTCAAAATATCTAGGAAAGGCAAAATAAGTAGAGAAGGCAGAAATTAGTACTGTTCATAAGCGGGAAGGGGACAAAGCAAAAAAGGAAAGAGAGGCTTGTAAAAAGAAACAAGGGGTGTATGACTGCCCCTTCATAAGCGGGAAGGGGACAAAGCAAAAAAGGAAAGAGAAACCTCGAAAACCTTATGGAAAAATAAACCAGAAACAAGTTCATACCTTATAAGTATTTACACCATCGTTAACTGCCCTTTCAAGGTCATCCAATATACTATCAGTGCTGCCTCTTAGAACTAGGGTGGACACAGAATTACCCCCTTCCTCACTTCGTACGACTGTAACCTAGAGGCAAAAAACATAAACATCAATAGCTTGAAGTCTTGAAGTACTTAAGGGGAGCAAATTAGAAAAACATAAGTTTCATCAGTTGAGTACCCTAACACCACCGATTTCTTCCACTGAGACAGAATCAACATATCCAAGATCATCAGCATTTGGTTGACAGAGCTTCAACTGGTCTCACAAATAAAGAAGAAAATAAGCAGCAATTTAAGATTTTATTATATACTACAAGTAAATAGATCTATTTTTGATTTACTTGTTAAGAAAAAGTTACGTTCAAGACATTTAGTTTATGTTGTTATTGTTAGGATGTGCTTACAAGAGCGACAGCACCAGTGGTTCTGCAGAAACGTCGCAGCTCAAATTTGGAGCTAATTTTTAATACCATGAGCCTGAAAAAGTAGTACAATAACATGATAAATTATAAGGCTGAAGTATCAGTTGCAAAAGTTATTGAAGGAACAAGTGTGATGACCATGAATGTATTTTGAAACCAAAATCTTCTTCTACTAAGTAAAGGTTTCAATCTAAATGTCAAAATAGTTGCTCAAATCAAACGAAACTTGGACCCCTTGTGTCCCACATACGCACCCCTTGCAGTACAATTAAGGTGCGCTTAAAAATATAAATACATTCAGGGACCTTGTAGTCTAATGAGATAAGCTTTAAAAGGTTCATATTTTCACCCATCCCACATATGCACCCCCCTGCCCCCTCAAAGAAAAATAACACAAACAAATGAATGGAAAAAGAGGAGATTATACTTGTAACGTTCACAAAAATGCTGTGCCATCTCTCCAACAGCACCTCCACTAACAATCACCTTAGCACCAGAATCTGCAACTGCTTTAATGAGATCTTCAACCTTAGATTCCTCAGATTTTGCATAATTCTCAAGCTGCAAAGCATTAGAGAACCCAGATCACAACAAATCAATACTAGTCACAAGATAATAAAATGTGATTCTATAAAAAATTAGATCATTAGTGAAGACATTTTATGGTTTCCTCAACCTTTAAATTCTAGAAAATCATACTTAAAAGTGTGTAATACATTAATTAACCTAGGATGACCCTGTTTGCCAAAAAAGTTCAAACATTAAGATAAAAGATCCACTGTTGTACATTGACATCCTGATATGACTGGAGACATGAAAAATATTTAGGGTGGAATCCAAATCCTCTATTATGTTCACTCATTCTGAATGGTTGAAATCATAGCAACTTGTTTATTAAAAGTTGCTATGATTAGATGGAGATGTATCCCATAGAATCAGAAAAGGGTGGATGAAGTGGAAGAGTGCGTCGGGATTTCTATGCGATCGAGGTATGCCGACTAGACTGAAGGGTAAATTTTATAGGACAGCAATTAGGCCTGCAGCCCTGCATTACTGTATGGCGTAGAGTGTTGGGCGGTGAAACAATGTCACATTCAAAAGATGAGTGTGGCAGAGATGCGCATGCTGCGTTGGATGTGTGGGCATACTAGGAAGGACCGCGTGAGGAATGAGACAATCAGACAAAGGGTGGGAGTAGCACCTATTGAAGACAAGATGTGGGAGTCGCGCCTACGGTGGTTTGGTCATGTGCGTAGAAGACCGAGTGATGCACCTGTGAGACGAGTTGAGATGTGTGGAGAAGAGGCAAGGAAGAGAGGGAGAGGAAGACCCAAAAAGACGTGGGTTAGGGGAGTTCGAAGTGATATGCTTCTTCTGGGGTTGGATGAGAGCATGAGTTTGGAGAGAGCTAAGTGGAGGGCGGGTATTCGTGTGGAGGAGTGATCTCGTATCATCTTTTCCCCTCATCTTTTTTTCCTTGTTTTTTATCCTTATATATATAAGCATTATTTGTATCCTTTTTATTTTATCTTTTTTATGTATATTCATCTCTTTTTATATTATCTTTTTATAATAGCTTATCTTTTTTATCTCTATTTTCTTTCTTTTCCTTTTGGTGGTGATATCATGCATCGATTCATGTTAGCCGACCCCAATATCTTTTGGGACTAAGGCTTGGATGTTGTTGTTGTTGTATTATTTAATAGACAATAACCAACAGAATGAATGGTACACAAGGGAACAGGGACTGTTGCACGAGTGAAAAATGCTCTTATGTGAGGACATGCTACATAGAATGCCTAATATTCTTATAATCGTCAAGAAAACTAAAAATAGGGCTGAACTTAATACCTGGTCAGCGCTATGAATAAGAACTGTGCCTTTTGTTTCGGTTGCAGATGTATCAACTCCCCCAACAAAAACAGCAACCTGCAAAATTAGGTATTCAAGTCTAGAACCTTAATAAAAGCAAACACCTAAATGACATGAGTGTATTTACAAGTTAAAATAATGGTGTACAGGTAAAGGTTTACTATTAGAAGCAGAGATTAAGTCGGTAAGGGTACAGATCCAACCCCAACACTTTTTTAGATATATTTCCACCTTCAAAATCTCAAAAGAATCGGTATGCAATTGTGTTTTAATGCTCAAATTAAAACTATTGAAGAAAGAAAATCTGCAAGCCTATAATTAAATGAAATGGGGTTGAGATATATGTAAACAAGAATGAATAATTTAATCACGCCATTCTTTTCTTAAAAAGAATGTGACTTGGAGATTGATGAAAAAGAACGGTGACAAGATCAAAAGATAAATTGAGGATGGGGATATTTACATTTAACAAATACAAGGAAAACGTAAATGAAGTTGCAATGCATCATCACATACAGTCAGAAAATTATTTCTTCCCCATGTGTATCTGTGCCTCCAATCGACACATTACCTTATAAACAAAATCTTGAAACCTTAACATAAGAAAGAAAGAGATAAAAGCCTCTGTATATACTAACTACTGTAGCCAAGAGGCCATCCTTACTTTCATGATATCCAGTTCCCTCAATGGGTGGATTAATTGAAAAATTAAGATGAAAACTCAAAGGAAAAGCTCCAATATCTCTCCATAGACCCATAAGACTTTCTCTCTCTCTCACACACACACACACACACGCGTGAGAGGGTACAAGTAAAAATATTCACCTATTTGAAAAATTCAAAAACATCGGGAACATTGATTTCAGGGATCTAAAGCCTCATATATATTGGGAGCACGGAATAAAGGTGAACTTTATAACATTTAGTTGTGGCAAGCACATTCATTAAATGCTCATTAATGTTCATAGACGGGATCATTCATTACATCAAATTGACGTACTGAAATTCATTCTTAATTTTTCATGGGAAGAACATTTTTATTTGAACCACAGTCTATATGTGTGTGTCGTAACCATGTTTTCAAAATCAGGTTTGCCAGACAGTAAAAACATACAAAGCAATAAAATATAGAACTTGTGCATGAAATTATACCTTTGCCTTTTCCATTCTCTTAATGCTCCCAATAGCATCGCTTTTCAATACCATGCCTCTAACTATTGTTGAATTGTGTAGACCTCCACCCAATAGCTTAGCAACACGAACATTGTCCACGTTGAAATTAGCAGGGTTCTTAGGACACACTTGTATACATGCCTACAGAAAACAAAATCCACAAAGAATCAAAAGCTGCTGACACTGATTTCACATATAGAGATTAGGATCAACACCGTGAACTAGATAAAGCAAGCATCCTGATATAATGATATCTACCTCAGCAATGAGAGGGCACAAAATATCTTCTTGTCCAAATTGTTTGCTTGCAACTGCAGCTTTCATCCTAGAAACAACTTCTACCTTGTTTCTGACATCCATATTTTCTGAGCCTTCAACAACTAGTTCTTCTAATACTTTAATAGTCTGTATCCATAAATTTAGTAAAAAAATAGTTCAAATATATAATTAGTGTTGATAAATTATAAATGTATTATAGGCCTTATATGGTAGACCATGCAGACCTCATTAATTGCTTTATTGTATCCAATGATGATCTCACTAGGGTGTAACCCCATCCGAATCAGTTCCTCAGCATTTTGAAGCAACTCTCCAGCAAAAGAAATAGTCAGATTGGCCCCGTCACCAATCTCTTCTTGTTGAGCTCTTCCTGCCAACACCAAAATCTTGGCAGCAGGATGCTGGATCTCAAGTTCATTCACAATCGTAGCAGCGTCATTGGTAATGAAAAGCTTATCAAGATGGTTGATAACCATCTTATTCATGCCTAAACAAGAATTAACCATAAATGGATGAGAACAACAAATATATGTTATACTCCTGGACAGATAATTGATCTGCAGCGAATTAAACTCTTCCTAGAAAGGAGAACTAGTCCTAGCCTGAAGTTTGGAGTGTTTCTTGAATTACGTTGTCCAACTTTCACATTTCTGATAAAACAATGGGCAGCCCACCACAATGGTGTATAAGGGTCCAGAGAAGGGTCCCACCACAATGGTGTATAAGGGCAAGCCTTCCCTGTCAAAGCTGATAAAATTTTGAAAAGAGGCCGCTCCCAAGACTTGAACACATGAAATCTCTTTCACTTAGAACACCTTAACCACCTTAACCAGTGTGCCAAAGCTCCACTTCAACTTGCACATTTCTGATAATTTTTTGAATCAATTTACTATCAAAAGTAAGCGGAAATGGATATCTTCTTTTTCCTTTAAATTTCTTTGAGTGCAAGGTATTGTGCTAAGGAATTACAATGAGAAAAAGTATATTAGGAAGTCTGAACTAAATTATAAAGAAGGGAGAAAGAATAATTTACCATTGGGTCCGTATGAAGTTCGAGTTATACCGGAGAGCTGCTTGCAGGCGTCAATGTTCTTGATCACAGCCTCATCGAGACCAGACAGATGTCTGTGCCCTTCTTTAAGCATAGATTGCATTCCATATGGCTGCATTTGGAATCCCACCATATTGTTGTTCTTCAACTAGCTTGTGTACTCGGAAATGGAAATGGATGAACGGTCGCTGGAATAGAATCCCGGAGCCGGGGAGGGTTGGGAAATCGGCAGACGGCTGCCCTAGTGCGGAGAAAGAATTCTATTTGGGCTTTAGTTTAAATGTGAAATGGAAGATAGGACCCTATTAACCGGTCCAATATTATACGGAGTACGATTCAAGAAGCTTATTACCCCTCCTTCCTAAAAAGATCATTAAAACCCCAATTAGTTTTAAACTCTTGTAACTTTTTTATTTGTTGTTCAAATTTTCCAAAAATATATCAAAATTTCTAAATTTTTATGATCTTTCATATGACACCAATATGTAATACACTTCCTCCATCCCTTAAAACTTTGACATCTTTTCTTTTTGGGACGTCCCAAAAAACTTTGGCACATTCTCTTTTAATCAATTAATTTGTGGTTTCTGTTATTTCTCTTTCCTCTGCACAAACCTCAACTACATAAGTTTTACTTTGTTATTCTCCGTGCCGGTCAACTTTGGCAAAGTTTCAAGGGACGGAGGTAGTATAAAAATGAGGATATATAAGTTTTAACTTTTGAAGTTTTCTTTAGTCTAAAAAACGATGAAACACAAATTTTTAATTAATGGAATCTTCACAAATAACTGAATATTTCATAATCGAACTTTACTTGAACTAAGTTTATTTTTGTTAACCGAAAATATTAAAAAATTAATGAAATTTATTTAATTTTACATCGAAATGTGTATTTTTTTATTTCACAACTATTTAGGGAAAATATTAAACGGAAAACATTACTTATAATAAATTAATTAATGTTTTACTAAATTGATATGTAAAAAAAATGTTGAGTGTATTTTATTGACGGTGCACGGATGCAGAGAAAACAGTATTGACGGAGTTGAAACACTGTTTTCATATGGACGGAGTCCAAATTTAACAATTTGGACTACTAACCACTACAAATGGTCTTAATGACCCAAATGATGGAAGTTTGGCAAAAAGAACACAAATTTAGAAACAAACTAATTTTTCCTCCGGGTTACTTAAAGAGCATCTTCAAAGCAACAATGTCATACATATGTCACACGAGACATATAAACACAAAAATAAATTGTAGAAGTCGTTCACATTCTTTCTACGACGAAATAAATATTTGGTTGTTTTTTGTTCACTATGTCAAGTACACTGCCAAGAAATTATAAAATAAAAAGTAACTAAAATTTATTACGCAGTGTAAAGAAAGAGATGGGCTTTTTATTAATTAATTCTTTTGTACTTATATCTATCATGTCATGTTGCACCGTTCACACATCTGCATTGGAGATGCTCTAAGTTTTTCACTTGCTTTTTTTAGACGTCAAAGTTAAAGATTTTCATTTTTATTTTACAAAACAATTAACACTATTAAATGACAACTTAATTATTAAATATTAAAAGAGTTAAATATAAGAGTAAAATGTTTACAATTTGCCAAAATATGAGCCTTTTAAGACCAAGTTGACAAAAATAACCTTCTAATAAATCATGTGCATGATTTGAAATTGAACAAACATTGAAGAGTCCAAAAAATATTGGCGTAGAACTTCAGCCGCCCTCGCTGGTATCGTGTGCCACTGCCGTTGCCAGTGCCGCCCGCCGCCGCCTCCCACACGAGTGCAGCCCGCCTTCACCTCCCACATCGACGTCACCATCCGTCGCCGCCCAACCCCGTTGCTATCGGGCGCTGCCACCACCGCTCCTCACCATCACTGCCGCCCAATCTACGCCGTCTGCATTGTAGTCACCGTTATCGTCTAAGCATCACCGTCACAACTACAACAGATCTATCCCTGAAAATTAATTACAAATCTGTCATGAAAATGGCTTTTTAAATCTATGATAATGTTTGCAGATTTATACTACCTCCGTCCCTTAAAACTTTACCTAAGTTGACCGGCACGGAGAATAATAAAGTAAAAACTGTGTGATTGCGGTTTGTGTAGAGGAGAGAGAAATAATAGAAATCACAAAATAATTGATTAAAAGGGAAAGTGGCAAAGTTTTTTGGGACGTTCCAAAAAAGAAAGATGGCAAAGTTTTAAGGGACGGAGGGAATATATCTTGACAGATTTGCACAAAACTGCCATAATCTTGGCAAAATATGAAGTCAACAACTAAATATCCGGTTTAACAAAATGGAACAATCACTTTAACAAATACACCTCAATCAGAAATAAAATTACAAATTTACAATGATAAAAATCAGAAAAACTTGTTTGCACCAAAATTTCATTATCATAATATGATTGTCGGTGTAATATTTATGCCATAAACTTGGCAAAATTTAGTCAAGTGTTGAAAGAGAGGGACTATTTAATGGAATATCACTTTATTGATAAAATTATCTCTTTGAGATTATTATCAAAGACAAACATGATTTACGCAAAATTGTGACATACAAAGTTGTTTTTATAACACACAAGTGTCCCCTGGACTAGGGGTGGGCAAAATAACCGAACCGGCATGGTACCGAACCGGACCGGTATGGTATCGGACCGGAAAACGGGATTTCAAATGGTTCTCAAAAATTTTGTCCCGAACCGGACCGGACTGATTCCATACCATGCCATGACCGGTTCTCATTTTATGAGAACCGGTACCGGACCGAACCGAACCGAATTATAATTTTATTAATTTATATAATTTTATAATGGGAAAATTGCACATTCTGCCCCCCAATTATCTACCATATTGAAATCCCAGACCCATGTTTCAGGTTTGTTAAATGTCACCCCGAGTTGTCAGAATAATTATAAATGTCACCCCTGCTGTCATAAACATTACAAACTCCGTCTCTCTTTCGTTTTTCAGGGTTAAACTCGTCATTTCGCTTCCTTTTCGTTTAATAAAGCCCTTAATCGAACACAAACCATACTTCGTCCGTTGCTTGGGAATGAAAAGCTCTTCAGGCGTTCTTCCCGTTCTTCCTTCGCCCCCTGATTCAAAAGCTCTCTTCATTAGTCTGTTCTTCAGTCGTTTGGAGTTTAGAAGAATTGTCTTCCATTGCACGTTCTTCATCTATAAAGAAGAACGATACCCATACTATATTACCCATATATGTCATTGGCTTTCTCATTAACAATAAAGAAGTTTGGTTTGCGTACTTACACTTTGGAGTCGCATTTAACCCATTGGGTCTTCGATTGGTCATCTTTCTTTCTTCTGTCACAACTTCGACCTTGAAAGGTGTTAGGGATAATTCGAATTAGGGCTTTAAACGAAAAACAAGCGAAATGACAAGTTTAACCTTGAAAAAATGAAAACCATACGGAATTTGTAATATTTATAACGACAGGGGTGACATTTATAATTATTCTGACAACTCAGGGGTGACATTTAACAAACCGGAAACACAGGTCTGGGATTTCAATATGGTGGATAATTGGGGGATGATATGTGCAATTTTCCCTTTTATAATTATATAGACATAGGGATGGACTCGGGCCGGGTGGCCCGACCCGGAACCGGTACTGTTCCGACCCGGTGGCCCGGTCAGTGACCGGTCCGGGTAGGCCCGGCCCGTGGGTTTTCCGGTCCGGGCTCGGGTCACCCAAAACAAGGCCCGACCCGGCCGGGCCCAGGCCCGGTTCGGGCCAAAAACTATTTTTTTTTCAATTTTTTTTAAATTTTCGGGTTGGGCTGGGTATTTTGGGCCATTTGGGGTGGTTTGGGGGGTTGGGGGTGGGAGAGGGGTTAATTAGGAAGAGGAAAACAAAAAAAAAATATAATTGGCCCGGCCCGGCCCGGACCCGATGGTTACCCGGGCCGGTCCCGGGTCCACCATTTCTGACCCGTCAGCCCGCCCGGGCCTAGGCCCGACCCGGACCCGGCCCGGACCCGAGTCCATCCCTATATAGACATGTATACCATATTACCATTACTTTGATTACTCATTTGCACTTTGCTAATTGCTAGTTATTTATGTTTTGTACTACGTAGTATTATAGTTTATAAGAAATGTGTTAACTATGTAATACACATGTCCCAAAAAACATTTCCATTTTCAAAACTTTGACCAATTATATTTTTTATTGAGAATTATTAATAATATAAAAATTATATGAAAAATGTTCTTTGTTAAAAATACTTTCATAAAAGTATAAAATTTATAACTTCCATAATTAATATTATACTAATCAAAATCATCGTTCAATTTTTTTGAAACAACAAATTTTTTTAGGACGGAGGTAGTATGAAAATTGATAATTGTGTGGATTTTTGGATGATGACTAAGTTTTAATTTATCGAAAAAGTGGCATTGTTTGGCATTGGTATGGCATGGTACCGGACCGTTTTAAAAAGGAACCGAACTGAACGGGTTTAGGTCTAAGACCGAACCGTTTCAATAGTAACGGTCCGGGTACGGGTTCGGTAAAATATTGGACCGGACCAGACCATGCCCACCCCTACCCTAGACCTTTTGCCCAGAGTAATCCCATCGTCAGCCTTAAAGTTAAACCCCAGGTAAACCTTCAGTGGCCCTTCAAGGTTCAAACACAGACAGCTCCGCAAGGTTAAAAAAAGGAATATTGTTTGGATGAGATCTAAGGTTGGAATTTTACATTGAATGTTAGCCCTTCAATACTATATCGAAGGGAGAAATTAGTGAAGGCATTGTATGGTTTCATGAAGAATATGAAGAAGCCCAATGAGTACTAGCAACCTTCCATATCCGCCAGCTTTGCTTTCATGAAGAATAGATATCCCAAAATGGGGCATATGTGTCAGCCTCCCATTTTCATTTTTGTCACATCTACTGCCAAACTTGCTTCCCTCAAGATTTTAGCTGCATCCTCAGGGAAAACAGGATTTATGTAACATCCAGTTCCTAACTCAAAACCCCCAACCCCAGATAAATGGGGAACTATTTGGAGATACCAATGGCAACTTGGTAAATATGAAGGATCAACTTCAAATGGGGAGCTATGGATCATGAAGTTGAATGGTGGATTATTCAGCTGTGAGGACAACGTCAAAAGCACAAGTTTCAACTGCCCTGCCAGATCAAATGCCTGAACCACAGTTAAGGCCAAACATTGTTAAAGTCCAAAAAGAAGATAGGAGTCATCATTTACGCTTTGTTTGTTTCCACTAAAATATACTGTGTATGTTTTCTTGCAAAATATTTTCTTGGCTCTACCGTGTCCGGCACAAGAAAACATCCCCCCACCCCCTCTTTTTGGCAAGAAAAATATTTTCCAAGATTAATCGAGTTTGTGTGAAAACTGAAAAATGGATTCTTCCCCTCTTAGGCAGAGAAAGCAGTCATTTCCCTGAAACATTTTTTCCTATTGTTATCATCAAACAATTTTCCATGGAATACATTTTACACAACCGCCTATATTCATGCAATCAAACTTTTTCTCTTTTGAATAGACTAGCAATAGTTGCACGGTTGCACCTTTAGATCATAAATACAAACACAATCGCTTGTGCAAGGAAATTATAATCTTAAACTGTTAATAGATGATTAAATGTTCTGTTGGGAACATTCTAACATCATCTAATCTTCACAAATGTATATCACAACTATAAATTCCAATAAAAATAAAATCATCAATTACCTTCTCTCTGTCTAGGTCATGAAAATAGGCAGAGTGGTTCCGAGGGATTATCCATATTTCAAAGGGGAATGTAGCAGCAAATGGAACCACAGATGTGAAATGGGTCGACTTATTGATTATTAATTCATCTGCATGAATATTGCAGAGAGAACAAGTCCCACGCTGCTGAAAATACTCCTTCATACTACCGAGGCGAGCAGAAACTGTGGGGGGGATAATAGGAAGAGCAATAATCTGGCTGTGAGAGTGGCTCATAGATGCGCCGGCTGATGCCCCATGATTTTTGAAGACCTAGTAATTCAACCCCATAAAAACAGTGAGATAAATTTGGGGACACTTATTAACTATAATGTACTATAACTGCCAAAAAAACATAAGGGTGTAAGAACCATCAATATAAGATGCCAGAAATAACTGGTTCCATATATATTGATTTTTAAGAAAGTAAATAGAATAAAATGAAATACTACCCTTCATTCTTAGGGATGCCAAATTCATCATATACCAAGTCAATTCATTACTGGTTCCAGTTGAGCATCGCAATGACTCTACTGCTCAAGTCAATGTCTCCTCATAAATTTTTTTATGGTTCTTTAACTTCTTTTAATAAACATTTTCAGACATCGAGCCAACTTGCCAAGATAACAATCAGGGTGGATTGGGCCAAGGAGGGCCCAGGTCCACCCTCAATTTTTTAAATTGTTAATATACAGCAGTTGCCTCTCCCATCCTTCTAGAATCTAGACTTCTAGTCAAGCCCAAATTTAAAACATGGCGCAGGGGAAGAGGTAGCAAGACTAGCAGTCCGCATAGTTCTGAATTGGCAATACCCCAAATCCCAACCTAGCAACCCATCGAGTCTTCGTCACTCGTTGCCTTGCTGGTCAGCCGTTGAACCGATGTAGCCACGTCGGACCCGGACAGCGCACTGCAGCTCAACACTCTGGACAGTGGTTTAGACTCTTTAGTTTATGCTCTTCGGTGGTAAACTGGGAAGTGCGGAACTGCCTAACGGGTAAGTTTTTATTTGTTTAGTTTTATTGTGTTTTTAATTCAATTTATGTGTTTAAAGACTATAATAGAGCCTTATTTGGTATGAATTTGATTGTTGTTTGTAAAGTTGTGATCATCATTCATAGAATCATAGTAGTATGAGTTTGCTTGTGATTTGTTAATACTAATCTAATTATTAAGTTAATTAGTACTGGTATCGTAACTAGTCATCCCGTTATTTTCAATAAAGGTAATGAAGATATTATAACCTTGTTAAAGTAGGAGCTAATGAGGGTAGCTTATCCAGGATTGTAATGCCCTCAACTACAATTAAAGAAAATTCAACATACCTCGATTCAGAATACGGATTTCAAGATATAATCCAAATATAAGATATCAAGCTCGAAGAGCATATTTGCAGAAATGCCCTTGTCAACCGTTTGAGCATAACTTCCCAATCAAGACAGTTTTTGCAAATAAATCAAGAAGATTCATTCTGACTTGGTTTCCTGAACATGAATGGTTGGAGTATAGCATATCTGAAGATAACGTTTATTATCTCTATTGTTATCGTTGAAAACCCAACAAAGGGAGAAGATTTGTTTGTTTCAGAGGGATTCAACCATTGGAGAGGCAAGTCCAAACTTAATGTTCATATTGGAAAGCATGATAGTGAGCACGATCAAGCTCGAATGAGATGCACAGATGAACCAAAATGTACATATTGAAACAGTTTCAGGCAATCAATCAATGCTGACAAAAGAATGATTATTGCATCCGACTGACACCATCACTTGATTGTGTGCGGTACTTGATGAGGTTAGGGCTACCATTTCGGGGTCATGATGAAACAAAAGACTCTCCAAGTCCAAGTAATGATCTAGAAATCTTGGAATTTTTAAGAGATCATAATCTTGAGATAGCTTATGTGGTAATTAATAATGCACCTAGAAATTGCGAATTTGTTGCACATAGCATTCAAAAAGATTTAACTCATGCTTGTGCTATTGGGACGGCGATGTTATGATTCAAGATATTGAAGATTCTTTATATTCTATTCCAGTTGATGAATATCGTGATGTATCAACAAAAGAACAAATGTCAGTTGTGATACGTTATGTTGATTGTAAGGCACATGTAAAAGAACGATTTATTGGAGTTGAGCATGTCACTAGTACCACATAACTTGCACTGAAGGAAGCGATCTTTTACATGCCATTTTCTAAACATAACTTCAGCATATCTAGATTAAGAGGAGAAGTTTATGATGGGGCAAGAAATATGCAAAGGGGACTTAGTGGGTTGAAAATAATTATTCTTAATGAGAACTCAAGTGCATACCACATTCATTGTTTTACACATCAACTCCAATAAAGAATAATTTTTACTCAAGTGCAGAACAATCAATGTAATATACACTTGAGTTCTCATTAGGAATAATTTTTTCCAACCCACTAAGCCTCCCTTGCATATTAGTCACCCCATCATAACCTTGTCCACTTAATCTAGATATGCTCAACTTTTGTCTAGAAAATAGCGTGTCAATAGTTTCCTTATTTGCAAGTGATGTGGTACTTAGTGACATGCTCAACTCCAATAAATTTTTCTTTCACATGTCCAATACAATCAAAATAATGTATCACACCTGACATTTGTTCTTTTGTTGATGCATCATGGGATTCATCAACTAGAATAGAATATAAAGAATCTCCAGTATCTTGAATGATAACATCCACCGTCTCAATAGCACAAACATGAGTTAAATTATTCTGAATGTTATGTGCAAGAAGTTTGCAATTTATAGATGCATTATCCATTACCACAAAACCTATCTCAAGATTATGATCTCATAAAAATTTCATGGTCACTAGAAAATTACCTAATGAGGGTCTTCTGATTCGTCACGACCACGGAAAGGTAACACTGACCTCAACAAGTACTGCACACAATCAAGAAATGTTGTCAGTCAGATGCGATAATCATTCTTTGCCTGCATTGATTGATTGTCCGAAATTGTTTCAATATGTGCAATTTGGTTCATCAATGCATCACACCTCATTCGAGATTGATTGTGCTCACTATCACGCTTTTCGATATGAACATTAAGCTTGAACATGTCTTTCCCATTGTTAAATCCCTCAAAAGCAAACACATGTTCTCCTCATTGTTTCTTTTTTGTTCGGGTTTCAAAGATAACAATATATACATTAGGCGTCATCTTCAGATATGTTATACTCTAACAAGTCATGTTCAGAAAATCACGTTGAGATAAACTTTCTTGATTTATTTATAGAAATCTCTTCATTGGGAAGTGCTCAAACGGTTTACAAGAGTCTTTATGCAAAATGTGTTCTTCTAGCTTGATCTCTCATATGTGGATTGTACCTTTAGTTCAGTATTTTCAATCCAGGGTCATATAGAAGTTGGGAAAAATCAAACTCTTCAAAAGTGAATGGTTGTCTGTTATTTATGTTGTTTTGTTCATCATTTGTTGTTGAATTTTCTGGAATTGTAGTTGAGGGCACTAAATTCTGGATGAGGTACCTTCATTAGCTCCTACTTCAATGGGGTTATAGTATCTCTTCATTACCTGTATTGGAAATAAAGAGATGACTAGTTACTACAATGATACCAACTAACTCAATAATTAGATTAATAATAATAAATCACAAGCAATCTCGTACCATTTACAACTTTACAAATAACAATCAAATTCATACTAAATAAGGTTTTAATTTAGTCTTCAAACAGCTAAATTAAATTAGAAACACAATAAAACTAAACAATTAAAAAATAACTGTTAGGTAGTTCCGCATTTCCAAATTACCACCGAAGAGCAGAAACTAAACAGTCTAAACCGCCATGTACCGTCCGAGTGCTGAGCGCTTGAGTCGCAGACTCGCAGTGCGTCGTCTGAGTCCGACACTCTGACGTGGCGACATCCATTTGACGGCCGACCAGTGAGGCAACGATTGATGAAGGCTCGATGGGTTGTCACGTGCTATTGTGCTAGATTGCTAGGTTGGGATTTGGGGGTTTTGCCAATGCGGAACTATGTGGACTGCTAGTTCTCTACCTCTTCATGTGCCTTCCGGTCCTAGAGTTGGATTTGGGATTTGGGAAAACTGTCAAATTAGCCCCGTACTATATCGAAAAAGTCAATTGAACCCTCGTACTTTATAAACACCCAATTGAACTCGTGTACTCTTAGAAAACGTCCAATTAAGCTATTTAGCAAATAAGTTACCTACTTACTTGTTTCACAGTCATCTACCCATGTGACAGCCCACGTGGCCATTTTTCCTTTTCCCTTTTTCCATTTCTTTTTCCTTTTCTTTTTCTTTTTCTTTTCCTTTTCTCTTCCTTTTCTCTTTCTTTCATTCTCTCTTCTTCAGGTTCGCAGAGGTTCGTTCCAGTTGCGTAACCCGTTCACCTTCAGGGAGTTGCCACCATCACCGGGGACTGCGGGCGCCGGCACTAGGGACTCGGCTGCCATTTCCCGGGGCAACAACCGCCAGCGTCGGGGACAACAGCCTCCATCGCTGGAGCTCGAGCGCATCACCGCCTTCCTTCCCCCGCTGTTGTTTATATTCTACTAGGCAACCGCCGTCCTTCCTCCGCCAACGGCAAGAATCTTCTTCTTTGGTGGCATGAGGCTTCCGAATCACCATTAGATCCTTTCAAAAGACTCCCGATGTGCTACTGCTGGTTGGCTTGGTTCCAAAACGGCTTAACGGCTGCCGGAGGATACGCTTCCGACAAATTGAATGGAAATCTGGAACAAGAACAAACCTATGAAAGATGGACCCAATCTTTGCCGGCGATGAAGTGAAGGGGAACAGGGCTACAGGGCTGGCTACAAGGCTGCCACGCAGGAAAAGAAAAACAAAGAGAAAAATGAGAAGAAGAAAAACATGCCAGGTGAGCTTCCACCAAGGCTGCCACGTAGGCTGGTAACGGAGGACCGGTAACTTACTTGTAAAAAGCGCAATTGAGCGTTCTTTAATAGTACAGGGTTCAATTAAGTGTTTGTAAAGCATGAGGGTCTAATTGACTTTTTCGATATAGTACGAGAGCTCATTTGATAGTTTTCCCTTTGGGATTTTCATTTTTGGGGCCATGTTTTATTTTTGCCTTGGCTGGAAGGATGGGAGAGATGTCTTGTGCGGAGTGCGGACGAACAGAACTACGTACTAACGGACCAGAACTGTTGTATATTAATATTTTTTTAAAGATACGAACGAACAGAACTACGTACTAACGAACAAGAACTGTTGTATATTAATATTTTTTTAAAAATGAGGATGGGCCTGATTTTTATACATATATAGATACTAGTTAAAAACATTTAGGGTGAGCTTAGGCCTTCCCTAGCCCTAGCCCCAATCCGCCCCTGGTCTTAACCAAGATTCTAGCCTTTAGCACGCGCGTGATACACGTTGGGGTTCACATTATAGATCTTTCATGAGCTCGATTTCAATGTTTTATGTTGTTGGTAATGTGCTTGATGTGATACATAGTGATGAAGTGATGCAAAAGGGGGAGATGGAATATTTACTCAAAATGATGAATTGCATTGAATTTGTTCTAAATTTGCACATGATGAAATTTATTTTAAGAATATCGAATGAGTTGTCACATGCTTTACAAAGACGTGATCAAGATATTGTCACTGTGATGGATCTGGTTAAAGTTTGTAGGTACTGACTTCAAGCTTCTAAAGATGACGGATGGGATTCATTGTTCGAGGAGATTTGTGTTTTTGTGATCAACATTTTATCATTATTCCAAACATGAATGACACATTCATCCGTTTTGATTCAAGGTTGTCTCGTACGTTAAAGACCAACTCCTACAAATTTGCATCACTGTCGCTATGATCTATTTTGTGTTGCGATTGATTTGCAACTGCAAGAGTTGGGTGATTGTTTCTCAGAAGCTAGTACAAAGTTGCCACTTTGCATTGCTTTCTATCTCCACAAGATTCATTTTCTGCTTTTGACTTTTGAGAAGAAGAAATTGCTTAGATTGACTGAGTCTTATCCCCAAGATTTTTCATCATTAGATGTTTGTATTCTCAAAGATCAACTTGGAAGATATGTCTTTGATGTGCACTCAAATGTTTTATTTAAGGACCTCAAAGGACTTGGTCACCTTGAAGAGAAGTTGGTAGAAACTAAGAAGCACAAAACTAAGAAGCACAGGGTGTTTCCTTTAGCTTACAAGTTGTTGACTTTGATACTGATTCTTCCCGGTGTAACCGCTAGTTTTGAAAGAGTATTTTTAGCAATGAATATCCTGAAGGATAGGTTGAGAAACCGGATGAGAGATGATTGGCTCAATGATTGACTTATTGTTTATGTAGAAAAAGACATCTTCTTGAAAATTGACAATGATGTCATTATCAAACGATATCAATCCATGAAAATCGTGGTGTTTTTCAATTTTTGTATTTGACATTAATGAAAATTCTTATTCCTATGATGTTTATTTTTTTCTTTGATTTTGTTGTTACAATATATGCATATTATCAATATACGTTCTTTAATTAAATTTTGACCCTAAATGTAAAAGCTAGATCCGCCCTTGATAAAAACAAACCAAAAAGTAAAATAAAATATGTCAATGAGTCCCTTGAGTGTTTTTGTTATTGTTATTCCAGTCCCATAATGACTTATGCATGTTTCAGAAATGAAACAACGACTGTTTATAGAATGGAGAAAACTGTTTATACAAAATAGGAGACCTGGACATATTTGATGGACTGATTAACGCGAATCTGGTCGATCCTAGTCTTGAAAGCCAGAAAAACGTCCCCAACCTGTGCCTGTGAAAGATCGCTAAGATGAACCGAGTGAACCGGAGATTCAATCACCACATCGTGAAACCCAAATCCGCTTATTGAAACGACGCCGTGCAATGAATCGTGATTATTCTCAGCTTGGAAATGCAAGTCTCGGTTGACGGCTGGATAGAGGTTCTGGATAACTCTGATTCCCCAATCGGAGGTGGAATCAGACGGGATGCGGAATATCTCCGGCGCACACTCGTGTTCATGGCCCTTGCAGAATGGGCACCCCGATTGGTTATTCGGGTTTGGATTCGATTTGGCCTTGAAGTCCGACGGCCGTCGTGATCTCGCTGGCGAGAATATCACCCACCGTTCATTTATTCCATCCTTTCGGATTTCGGGGCTCGGATTTGGATATTCCTCGTCCGCCATTTTTAGTGCGGGTTTTTCACCTTGAATGCAAGTCCTATTTTTACGAAGCACAGCTCATATCTAAATTCGTTTAGAAAAATTTGACTAAATTTACAAAGTTACCCTTAGTAATAGTATTGTTTTATTTCGTACGGGGTATTAAGGTGTGTTTTAAGATGATTTTGTTTCTATTTCTTTTTTAAAATAGAATCGGAATTAGTTTTCAGAACTTAATCTTCATCGGCTTCTGAAAAAACCGATTCATTGGGAAGTTCTCAAACGGTTAATAGGGAGGGGATTTTTATGCAAATGTGTTCTTCTAGCTTGATCTCTCATATGTGAATTATACCTTGAGATCAGTATTCTCAATCCAAGGTCGTATGGAAGTTGGGAAAATCAAACTCCTCAACGCTGAATGGTTGCCTGTTATTTATGTTGTTTTGTTCATCATTTGTTGTTGAATTTTTCTGGAATTGTAGTTGAGGGCACTAAATTCTAGATGAGGTACCTTCATTTGCTCCTACTTCAATGGGGTTACAGTATCTCTTCATTACCTATATTGGAAATAAAGAGATGACTAGTTACTACACCGATAGTAACTAACTCAATAATTAGATTAATAATAATAAATCACAACCAAGCTCGTACCATTTACAACTCCACAAATAACAATCAAATCCATACTAAATAAGGCTTTAATTTATTCTTTAAACATCTATATTTAATTAAAAACACAATAAAACTAAACAATTAAAAAATACATGTTAGGCAGTTCCGCATTTCCTAATTACCACTGAAGAGCATAAACTAAACACTCTTAACCGCCACGCACCGTCCGAGTGCTGAGCGCTTGAGCCGCAGTGCACCGTCTGAGTCCAACACTCAGATGTGGTGACATCCATTTGACGGCCGTCCAGTAAGGCAACGATTGATGAAGACTCAATGGGTTGTCACATGCTATTGTGCTAGATTGCTAGGTCGGGATTTGGGGGTTTTGCCAATGCGGAACTATGTGGACTGCTAGTTCACTACCTCTTCTTGCGCCCTCCAGTCCTATAGTTGGATTTGGGATTTGGGAAAACTATCGAATAAGCCTCGTACGATATCGAAAAAGTCAATTGACCCCTCGTACTTTATAAACACCCCATTGAACTCGTGTACTCTTAGAAAACGTCCAATTAAGATATTTAGAAGATAAGTTACCTGTTTCCCAGTCATCTACCCACGTGACAGCCCACGTGGCCATTTTTCTATTCCTTTTTCCATTTCTTTTTCTTTTTCTTTTCCTTTCCTTTTTCTTTTCCCCTTTCTTTCATTCTCTCTTCTTCAGTTTCGCAGAGGCTCGTTCCAGTTGTGTAGATCCCGTTCACCTTCAGGGAGTTACCGCCATCGCCGAGGACTGCGGCCGCCAGAGCCAGGGACTCGGCATCCATTTCCTGGGGCAATACCCGCCAACATCGGGGACAACGACCGCCATCGTTGGAGCTCGAGCGCATCGCCGCCTTCCTTCCCCGTTGTTGTTTATATTCTGTTGGGTGTGTCTCGGAAAAACAAAGAAATATTAATTAATAAAAATAATTAATTAATTAAATAGCCAAAAAAACAGAAAAAGAGATGGGACGGAGTTTAGCCAGAGCTCGTGATACACATGATGTCCTTAAAACGTATTCGTCGCCTCCCACGATGCTCGGAGCGTTGCAACGACCGTTTCTCAGGATACGATGGCTAACGAACTAACGTTTGAGCACACAAACGAGAGTTCCGGAGAACGGGAACAAAGGAGAAACAGTGAGGAATATTTCAGAGAGCTGCAGGTGTTTTTCAGAGCTAAAACGTGTGTATTGTTGCTTGTGAAAGTGTAAAACCGTGTGTCTGTTGCAAAGCACCTGCCAGCTATTTATAGGATGATTTGTTGTGTGTTAAATATAGTGTTAATGGACCTGATCGTTGGACATCAATGACCAGTCCGTTGGGCATTGAACCGAACAGAAGCAGAGCGGTTCTGTTGGAACGTTTACGGGAAGAAACAAAAATTAAATCGTATCGTATCTTTGAATGATACGCAGGTCGCCCGCGCACACGAGTCGCGGTTTTTCTTCTCCATTTTCGGGATTTGATCACCCCCCCCCCTCGCCCCGCGAGAGAGAGAGCTTTTACCTTTAGGAATCTTAACTCCTTAAAAGAGGCTTCCCTTTTATAAGGGGGTGAAAATCCCTTGAGTTTTCCGGTGTGGTATAAAACACACTAGAAACCCATCATTTTCCAAGTTTTTCCATTTCAACGAGTGAACTTCGAGAATCAATTTCTCATTCACCCATTATCCGTTTTGAGCGTACCATATATCGAATTGTAGCCCTTAACAAAGAAAATCTGAAACCACTTTGACTCGACCCAAATCGGAAGTGGACCCCACTCAAATAGTTGCCCCAAAAAGACCATTTAATACAATTTTTAACACATTTTTCCAACAATCCCCCACATGAATGAAAATTGATTTTCGAGACTTAAAAAGACACGAAGATAGGAGGACACGTTGTGTTCACCAGATGATCCTTATATACGGAGAGGTAGGTTTTATCCTTTGAACCTTCCGCTGTAAAGACACGTTTATTTACTGGATGTCTAATAGACTCGATGTCCTTGAACTATACTGCCGTCGTGTAAACATTGACTTATCTTTACACAAGAACCTTCCAACTTTGTTCCGTTCTCATGGGTGTGCCCGTGTTGGTCATGGGTCACCGTCCTGGTTCTGCAAGAGTTTCTAAAGAACTGAGCCTATACAGTTTTCCTTTGAAGCGGCCCTCTTCTATCTCACATAGATGATTCTTTCACGGATATCCCGCATACTCTTCCAATGTTATCGAGTAGATCAACATTTTAGAATCATTAAAGCAAACGTTTTTGCTAACCTCGTGCGGAAGTCACTGTTTTAACGAGGAGTGGGTAGGAGTTTGGGTCCCCCACAGTGACCATTTTCGCTCTATAATTTAGTTGTCCCTTTTGAACCTAGGACCAACTAGGTTGGGTATCCATTATAGAACTTTTCAATTCACGGGCTTTAGTCCCATTCCTCGTGACAACTTATCTAACAATTCTCTATCCAATGTCTTGGTTAGCGGATCCGGTATGTTTAACGACGAACGTGTCTAGACTTACCATTGTACATATTGCTCTGTATCCTTCCAATTGCCACTTGACAATCGCAATGTATGCATATTGGAGGGACAAGCTTTTCCCAACTTGGAATATCCTCGAGAAAATGGCGTAGCCATTCAGCCTCTTCAGTGCACTTATCCAAGGCTATTAGCTCAGACTCCATCGTGGATCTAGCTATTAACGTTTGTTTTGAGGATTTCCATGACACGGCTGCACCTTCCAAAGTGAAAACATATCCACTTGTGGACTTTGAGTCCTTAATGTCGGATATCCAACTAGCGTCGATATACCCTTCAAGTACAACTGGATATCTTCCATAGTGCAGTCCAAGGTTTTGGGTTTTACATAAATACCTCAAAACCCTTACTATTGCCTTCCAGTGTTCATCACCGGGGTTGCTAGTATATCTACTTAGCTTACTAACCACAAAGGCAATATCAGGTCTGGTACAACTCATTAGATACATCAAGCTTCCAATAATCCTAGCGTATTCTACTTGAGAAATACACTCTTCACGATTTTTGGTAAGTTGTACGTTTTTATCTAATGGAGTCCTTGCCTCTTGATAATCATCCTTATTAAATTTCGTAAGGATTTTATCAACGTAATGAGATTGGCTTAGCGTAAGACCGTCTGGTCCCCTAATTATTTTAATCCCAAGGATTAAATCGCTCATCCCCATATCCTTCATGTCAAAAATAGAATTTAACATGCTTTTGGTAGAATTAATCACTAGATTATTGCTACCCACGATTAGTATATCATCTACGTATAAACATAAAATGACATAGCCGTCTACCGTGTTTTTCACATAGGCGCATTTGTCACTTTCGTTTATTTTAAACTCATTAATTAACATTGCATGGTCGAACTTTTTGTGTCACTGTTTGGGGGCTTGTTTCAATCCATACAATGATTTAATTAATTTACACACTTTCCTTTCTTTGCCAGGAACACGAAATCCCTCGGGCTATTCCATATAGATTTCTTCGTCTATATTGCCATTTAGAAAAACGGTTTTTACGTCCATTTGATGAACTTCCAATTTCCGCAATGCGGCAATTGCTAGTATCATCCTAATGGAATTTATTCTCGTCACACGAGAATACGTGTCAAAGTAATCATGGCTCTCACGTTGCTTGTATCCCTTTATTACAAGTCTGGTCTTGTACTTATCGATGGAACCGTCAGGTTTCATTTTTCGTTTAAAAATCCACTTGGATTCCAAAGATTTATTTCCCAGAGGAAGTTCAACCAGTTCCCATGTGTGATTTTTAAGGATAGAGTCCACTTCGCTTTTGATGGCTTCTTTCCACATAGGACCTTCGGTAGACGTCACGGCTTCCGTATAAGTCCGTGGTTCATTTTCGACCAAACATGTTAGAAAATCTGGTTCATTTTCTACCATACATGTTAGATTATCCGAGTCAAATTCTACCAAGTATGTGAGAAAATCCGATCCGAAGGATTTTTCAACTCCAGCACGTTTGCTACGTCTGGGTTCGGGTTCTTCTCCGGACCCCTCGCTAGTATTTTTCATAGCTACATCAAATGTTCGTTTTGACGTGTTTGGTCCTTCGTTGGACTTGCATGGAAATACGTCTTCAAAGAATGAAGCATTCATTGATTCAATAATTGTGTTTTTATGTACATCCGGATTATTCGAATCTTACACTAAAAACCGATAAGCACTACTATTTTGTGCATATCCAATAAAAATACAATCCACCGTTTTTGGACTTATTTTTATTTTCTTAGGTGTTGGTACAAGCACTTTTGCCAGACACCCCCACACTTTTAAATATTGATAGGAAGACCTTCTGCCTTTCCACAACTCATAGGGAGTTTTATCATATTTTTTCCGGGGTACCTTATTTAAAAGGTAATTGCTTGACAAACTGCTTTGCCCCACATATTTTGTGGCAGA